TGGCCATGTTAACAACACTGAGATTTCAACTCACCCCAGTAGAATGGCTATAATCAAGAAAACTAACAATAACAAATGCTGGCAGTAACTGGAATGTAAGCTTTTTCAACCATTCTGGAAAACAGTCTGGAGGTTCCTTAAAAGACTAAACATAGAGCTTTCCACAACCCAGAACTTCCACTCCTGGACATTTATCCAATTGAACACAAACAAGGCCACACTAAAGCTACCAGCACAATCATGTTCATTGCACCATTTTTTTCTTTTTTTTTTTTTTTTTATTACTTTTTTTTTTTGTTTTTTGTTTTTTTATTCCCTTTCGGTTTTTTTTTTTTTTTTTGGTTTTTCTTTTTTTTTGGTTTCTTTTTTTTTTTTTGTTGGGCAAAGGTTTTTTTTGTTGTTCTTTTTTGTTTTTTTTTTTTTTTTTTTTTTCTTCGTTTTCTTTTATCTTCCCTTCCAAAAACTTCTTCCCAAAATTATTTTCAAGGAACTTTCTTCTTATGTTTTATTCTAGGACTTTTTTTTTTTTACCTTTAATTTTTTACCCTCTTTTTCCCGGTTTTTAAATTGCTTTTTTTTTCGGTTGATTGGGAAAGGAATTTTTGGCTTTTTTCTTCATTGTTTTTTTTTTTTGCTTATTCGGCCTTTAAAAAAAACAGAAATGCTGCAACTTGACATACATGGATGAATCTGGAGCCCATTAAACTAAGAGCAATAAGGCAGACAACAAAGGAATTCTGAGGTCTTATTTATATGTGAATCTAAAATTAGTGGACTTCTTTAAGCAATTGTGGTCATAGGCAAAGGGCAGAGGACATGGGAATATATTGTTTAAAGTTCATAAACTTCCAGTTATAAGAAATAACATTACAGAAGCTAAGGTACAGTAAGGGAAAGGATAAATGTGGTGATAGGGGGCTATCATTACACAATATGAATGTATGTTATTCATCTTGACAATCATCAGTCTTTGTCAATTAAATATTTTTAATAAAAAACCTTTGAAAAACTATGCTTGAAGGTGACATTATTATAAAGAATGTCTTAAAGGCCAAATTACTGTTTTGGACCGTCCCTCCACCATGAGCTTGAAACGTCTCTTTTCCAGGTGCTTTCAAACATAAGTCTTATATCTTAAGGTAGAGCTACAAGAATAGCCACAACCCCTGAGTCAGAGCCATGTTCTGAGGCACAGGTAATGCACACACAAAAGGAAAGTATGTCCTTGGTGCCTCATTGACATTTGTATGGCTTTTTCACATCTTCAACATTTGTTCTTTGTTTTGGGGGAAAATATTTACAAGGTAAATGAATTGTAAGAATTATCTTGAAAATTTGTTTTCTAGGTTCCTACTAACAATAAAATGAGTACCTATTGTAGATGTCTATCAATGGAGAATTCTGAGAGAGAAGAATCTGCTTTCCTAATGTCTTTGGTTCACCTATCCCTGCCTCTGAACACTACAACTAGAAACCAAACTGTTCTCTCAAGAACTACTATCCCTGGTGAGAATCCTCTCACAGGTAAGGGGCAGCAGAGGGAAGGGCCAAAGGCAAACACGCAGGTTAGGAAAAGGAAATGTGCCCATAACAACACTCACCCTTTGACTGCCCATCATCCCAGAAAAGTTCACCTCTGGCTTCATTGTTCTCATCCAGGGCAATGATAAGACCAAGAGGGTTCTGGCGGCTGCAGGAGACAAGATTCACGTGAGAGACACAAAGATGGCAGCACAAAGAATTTTACCAAATGTTTTCCTAAAGTTTCATTGGGAAATTATCCCACCCACAGACAGCACTGCTTTTCTTCAAGGATAAAATGTCAGGAGCATTCTACTCCTCTACCAGAACACAGAACACAGAGCACAGACTATCCCATGAGTTCCCAATAAACATGTGCAAAGGAAGCCAGGGTGTGAGCATCAGAATCCCTGCAGTGGCTGCAGTCACAGCTGTGGTTGCAACTATAATTTAGATCATGAACTATTGGAAGAGAAGGAAATCCCAGACAATGGTGCATAGCCAGCTCTCTTCAGAGATAACATCTGAGGAGAAGAGTCAGCTGGTATAAGGGAGACACACCATTTCCCCAAGGACATTTGGACTCAAACTGCATCACATACAGTAAAGCTCACTTCTATTATAGAAACTTGTCTTAGTTGGCTAGCTATTAGTTTGTTTTGACAACAAAATTAAATATTCTCATAATCCGCATTGTAATTTAAAGAGATGGTGGATGATAGCTGTGGGATAAAGGGGAGAAAGGAAGTAAATTCACTTAGAAACTTCTAGTTTCCCCTCTCCTCCACACCACGTCCCAATGCCCCACCCCTCCTGTGGCCCCACTGTTCTCAGGCTCCCCAGTGTCCTCTCTTCATTTCAGCCTTCCACATGCAGGTCAGGCCCCACTATCACCACTGCAGGCTCTCATCGTGTGCATGGATGGAGCTGTCCATGCTAAGAAGTCCAGAGATGAACAAAATACGAAGATGAATAAAAATGCTGAAAATTAAAACTCCTGACATCTCTAAACTTAAATGATATAGGAAATTAGACACATTAAACAAATAATCAAAGTCACAAGTGAAAAGTGACACAGAAGTGAAGATCCTATGAGAGATTAGATAATACATCCAGAAGTGGGAGGAGTGTGATAATCTGAAGGTCACACCCATGAAATACTACTGAATCCTACATGAATATTCTAATTTAGAAAATACTGGTGGGATTGGAAGAAAATAAAGGATATATTCAGGAGTTCAAAATGACAACAGAAAAACTAAACAGTGAGCTAAAATTAAAAGAATGCCCAGTAAGAAAACTTGAGAGTTATCCCAGAGACAAATGGCTAAGAAGATTATAAGTAAGGTGCTGAGTCTGTCATGGAAGCTAGAGAAGATGACCTTCAATTCTCATGTAGAATCAGCATCCTGGTAGGAGATCACATATACTAAATTGCCACAAGTCCCTGGCTTGCCACAAAAGTAAAAGTAAATCACCTCTGAAAGTCAAGAAGACCCACATTACATTCTTATCATCACCATGTTTTACAAAATAAAATCTGTAAATATACCTAAAAATAAATTATCATGAAAGAAAATCAGCTATTTATAGATTTTTGTTCCCCAAGGACTATAAATCATAGCATTTTCAAACACAAGATGCTTCAATCAAATACTTTGACTGTAACAAAAATTAATGAAATAAAGAGAAAATCCACTAAGAAGAATTTAACTATATGCATTTTTCTTTAAATGGCCAAAAATGGTGAAGCAGCAGCACTCTCTCTAACAGAGGAGTTGGAGAGTCTCGTAGATGAATTTGTGTTTAAGTTGAATCATTATAAATGTACTAGGGCAGAGGTAGCAAATGACTCTAGCAGATTCAAACACTAGTTTTGCCAAAACAATAAAAAGAATTAATAATAATAATAATGTACCAGGACTTATTTAGTCATCATTTAGAAAAAAATCCTTAAAATTTAACAATTGCAATTTCCATGTGATCTAGCCACCAATTTTGGGTATATATTTACGTATAAGAATTAGTCAATTGGAGACAGGATAGATAGGAAGTCAATAAATCAATAGTATAAGAGCCAGACTCAGAAATGAAAACCCTGAAGTCAACCACAAAAAAAAGTATCTCCCTTCCATCTCCTTCCTTCAGATTTGTTTTAAAAATAAGGGGATAAAAAGGGGCTGTCTGCATCTGCCTTTTCCTTTGAGATGTTCAGCAGAACTACAGATCTAGAAAAACAATTCTTATGAAGTAGTCAAGGGAAACCCAAGGATGTGCGCGCACGCACACACACACACACACACACACACACACACATACACACACACACACTCCCCTTCCTCTCCACATGTTTCATTCCTTCCATCTCCTTCTTTCAGATGTGTTTTAAAAATAAGGGGATTAAAAGGGGCTGTCTGCATCTGCCTTTTCCTTTGAGATGTTAAGCAGATCTACAGATCTAGAAAAACAATTCTTTTTTTTGGGGGGGGGGGTCCTGTCATGGAGTCTGAACTCTGGGCCTGGGCGCTGTCCCTCAGCTCTTCAGCTCAAGGCTAGCTCTCTACCACTTGAGCCACAACACCACTTTCAGCTTTTTTCTGCTTATGTGGTGATGAGGAATCAAACCCAGGGCCTCAGGCATGCAAGGCAAGTGCTCTACCACTGAGCCAACTTCCCAGCCCCTAGAAAAATAATTCTTATGAAGTGGTCAAGGGAAACCCAAGGGCACACACACATACACACACACACACACACACACACACACACACACACATGCACTACACCCCTTCCTCTCCACATGCTTCATTGTAATTGAGCACAAATGGTCATCAGATAAGTACAGAAATGTCTTGCCTCCCCCTGCAGGACACTCCACACTACCTGGCCATAGTGGTTGTACTTGGCTGCTGTGTGGGGAAGATGTAGCCTCCTCGAAGGTGAAGTCCGATTTTGTCTCCAGGAAGTTCCATCTCTACCTCTTGTTTCCTCCATCTCAACTTGGCCCCCTGGTGCAGGCAGACAAACCAAACACAGTTATCCTGATCATCCATGGGCCCTACTAACTGCCGTGTGCAGGTGCTCTCTAGGGCTCTCCCTTTTCCTCTCAGCTGTCTTTCTGTCTACTCAAGCAATGAAACAAGGGAAGGTAAACATTTAGAATGTGTGATTGCAGACAGCTGAAGTCTGTGAAAAACAGTTATGCCATGCTGAATCTGTTTGATATTGACTGCATGCACTATCAGATCTGAACAACTAATTTGGTTCCTGAGCAAGCTCCAATCAACTCCCTCCAATGTTTGCTCATAAAGATGCCACTTGAGTCTTCATCTTGTTGCTGAATAAAGTTGTGAAAGTACTGTTCCCAGATTTCATTACAACTGGGTTCAATGACTCAGGCTCACTCTATGCCCTGCTACAGAATTGTAGAAAATGTGATGGAAATGCTACTTGTGTGGAAATGGGTATTTTTCTCTCTGTGTGAGGCATCTTGTCTAGCAACTGCAGGTGTGGCCTTGAGAAGTGTAAGGAAGTCCCAGGTACTCACCGTCTCATAGTCATACCAGACGGCATCAGGCACGTATGCCTTCACTCTATCTGCACCCTAAAATCAAAACAAAATGTCATCCACTTTGACTCACTATCTGGGTGGATAAAATAGATTGCCCACCAGGGCTGGGAAAGTGGCTCAGTGGTATAGTGCTTGCCTTTCATGCATGAGGCCCTGGGTTCAATTCCTCAGCACCACATAAGCAAAAAGAAAAAAGCCGGAAGTGGCGCTATGGCTCAAGTGGTAGAGCGCTATCCTTGAACTGAAGAGCTGAGGGACAGTGCCCAGGCCCAGAGTTCAGGCCCCATGACCAGACCCCCCACACACAAAAAATAGATTGCCCACCATTCCCTAATACTGTTCAGAGAGGGCAGACACAGACCTTTCTTTTCTGTTACTGAACCACTTCTGTCTCTAATGCAGATAGGAGAAGCCATTACTTGGCAATCCAGGGTATCATGGTAGGAATAGTAGTTAGCTAAGATAACCTGAAAACCCATAGAGATGCTCATTACTAAACCAAGAGCTGCCAGTAGGTGCTTTATCACTGGCTGGGAATTTTGCCTAGGAAAAAACATCTTTCTAGAGTGGACACCATGTAACCAATATTCCACTGCCCAAACCCCAGGACACTCTGGTCACAGCTGCCTAGTATTTTCCACACATATTGGAACTTGGTTTGATTTAAAAAAAGAAGACGTAAGAGTTGGGGAAGCAGTTCAGGGAGAGAAGCAGAGGCCTCTGTGAGAACACTTGCCTCCTCTAGAACAGGCGTGATGAGGAAGGCCGGCCCCCAGAGGAACTGTCGATGCACATCCCACGTGTTGCTGTCTTCATAGAACCTCGAAAGCAAAGACACAGGTCACTGAGACGTGGGCAGGGGGTTCTGAGAGCAACCAAGCACGCATGCAGGAAGACCAGGAAAACATCACCCATCAATTGTGATACCTGGACTTGCCCTCCTCCCTCCATTCCCAAACACGTCCAACTGTCCTCCAGACACAGCCTCAGAAATGACTGAACATGCTAGCCCAGAACTTAGGTTAGGCAGGCTACATACTATAGTTCTATTTATCATATCTTCCTTAAAATAAATAAAAATAAACGGGGCATCGTAGCTTACAGCTGAGATCCTCACTACTTGGGAGGCTAAGGTTGAGAAGATTTCAGCTTGGGACCAGTTGGATATAAATGTCCACAAGACCATTGCAAGAGACAACTGGCATTAGTGGTACAGGCCTGTCATCCCAGGGGAAAATAGGGGGAAAAAACATCAACAGGAGGATCAAGGTTCAGGTCTGCTTGGTCGAAAAGAAAGACTCAATCTCAGAAACAACAGGAACAAAGGTCTATTGCTCAACCAATAGAATTCTTGCTTAGCAACACAAGGCTCTAAATCACAGTACCAGTTGAAGCCCAAGCACTAGGGTTTAATATATTTTAGCATTTCAACTCAGGAAGGAATTGGGTCTGATCACCAAACATATCAGATAATGTAAAACTTCACTTTTTTATCTTCTAGGACACATACCTTTTATCTGTGAGTTCTAGGCGACGACAGAGACTTAACTTCAACATGAATTTATACATATACATATGTTTGCCTGAGGGCCTCATCTATTACAGACATGGGGGTAAATTCTATTTAACAAGGGAAAGCTCACAGTCCCTCTTATAGCTCCATGGCTGGCAAATAAGAATTACATACTTCTGATGTATGATATTCTTATTTGCTTGCAAGAATGTTAGCATCATTGTTCATTACCGAAGAGATCATCCATCAAGCTATCAAGTCTTTTAAAAATAAAGGGAGCTGGGATTTAGCTCCCTTGTCTACCATGAGAATAATCATGAATTCAATCCCCACCACTGAAGAAAAAGACATTGATATTAACTGGATGAACTATTAGATCTGAACAACTAATCTGGTTGTCTGAGATATAAACAGTTTAATTAATGAAAGAACAAAGAAAAGCCACCAAGTCTCATGACTTCTAGGTTATTTATTTCTCCAAAGTAAACAAGCTATAATAATAAAGTTAATTCCTATAATGGTATCTAGGTAGCAAGAGCCTTATAAGTACCAACTGGGTATTTATATTCCAGTTACACACACACACACACACACCCCTGAATAAGTGCTTGAATTATTTCAGCGTTTACTCTGCTAACCTATGATATACTCAGTGTCACCCAGTTTCATTCACCGAATGCTGCAGGGTTGGAAGGACTTACTCGTGCACAAGGGGCCTTGCCACGGTGCCTCCCCGGCTGTGCGCATGGTAGAAGAGGGTGTAGAGGTAAGGCAGCAGTGTATAACGGATGTTAAGGTAGTGCCTGGAAGAATTCAGCAGCAAGGAGTCAGCTCCAAAGGAAGCAGGGTCCTGGTCCTGGGAGGAAATAAAGTTCACAATCATGGGTTGGCTGGGGGAAAGCAAGGATTCGCAGAGAACTCATTCCCTACAGTGAAGGATTTGCTTCCTGAATGAGCTGGAGTCTAGGTTGCAAACTTTGCCTCTAAGCGTTACAGCTGGGCATTACAACATTACAGCTACTTCACTCCTTAGAACTGCACTGCTGGGAGACTGTCCTTGAAATATTTTCATATTTCCCCACATGCTTTTCATTACAAAAAGAGCAATACAGAGAAAGACTGAACAGATTGAACAGGAAACCTTCACAGACTCTATTTTCTAATGGCAGCAATACATGAGAGACTGACAGGGGAAAGTTTATGCTGTAGCACAGATGCTGGTAAGTGCAAATGAGGGTACAAATCAGAGCACCAAGGCAGATGCCAGGTTAGTGGATTTCTTATGGAAGATGCAGACATCTAGTCCTACATAGGCCAAATTGGTATTGATTGTCCTTTCCTGGGGTCTCACCTTGAAGCCTTGGCCATTGTGATTCCTGGAAAATGGATAAAAGGCTCCCAGCTGCATCCACCGCCTGCAGAGCTCCTCAGAAGTGTCAAGTGCAAAGCCGCATATATCTGCACCCACCTGGAAGGACACAGCCATGCAGTGTGCCTCTCCTCCTCCACCACCCTCTCCTTTGTTTTCTACCAGGAACCTTCCAAATGAACTGCACTAAAACCTCGTGCTGAAGGGGCTCAAAGAGTGTGGTCAAAATTGGCAGATATTCCGTGTCACTCTTTCTTTTTTAACTTTTGGTAGAACTGGGGTTTGAACCCAGCTTTGTGCTTGCTAGGCAGGCCTTCTACCACCGAGTCATACCCTTTTCTGCACTGGTAATTTTGAGACAGAGTCTCCCATTTTGCCTAGGCATTTGCATGGATTATGATCCACTTATTTTGTTTCCCATTGTAGCTAGAATGACAGGAAAGTTTCATAGCATCTGACTTCTTCCATTGAGATGGAACCTCATGGACTTTTCTCCTAGGAAGGCCTGAAACCACTACCCTCTTGATTCCAGCCTCCCAACAGAGCTGAGATAACATGCCTAAGCCATTGTGCACAGCTATTTGTTGAGAGGGCTTCTCACAAGCCTGCCTGGGCTGGCCGCAAACTATAATCTCGATCTCCCAAGTAGCTAGAATGATAGGCATGAGTCATTAGTGCCCAGCTCTGTGTTCAGTCTTTATTGCTGAATGACACTGAGTTACTACCCCTTTCCTTACCTCAGTATCTCTATTTATAAAATGGATATGACAGCTTTTAAATGAATAGTCACTGGTAATATTGCTAAAGATATTGTTTTACTTCATACTTTTTCAAAGCCTATCTTTGAGTATGTCACTCACCTAGTCAAAAAAAAAAAAACTCCAGGATTTCTATACTATTGTTTATCCTATGAACTCTTCAATCCCTAGTTGCAACCTATCTTCTTAGCACTGTCGCTCATTCTGGTCCCACACAACAATCCTAATAGATACATCTGTTTCTCCCTTCCTCCCCTTTTTGCTCATGATGTTTTTCTTAATCTTAAAAATGAGTTTCTGTCCTCATTAGCCATTTTTCAAGGCTAAACTCAAGCATTATCTTTACTAAGAATTTTGACTTTCCAGACTCTTTCTGTTCCTTACAATCTTTTCAGACTTACTAAGTCTCTTTCTCAGAATTTCTCTTAACACTAATACATAGGTCCCAATTGGCTCTTTTACCCAATCTTGTCATAATTATTTGTTTTCACATATGCCTCCTCTTTCTAAACTTTAAGGTCTTTGGGGAGTATGAAGGCATTTTGGTCGCTGTTCATTTATGCTTCACTACACACTAATCCTGCATAGTTAACACAGCACCTTGAACACAGTGTTCAATAAATGTTTATATTGAATTACAAAGGTTCATCAATGTTATATTTCTCCACACAGATACTAGGTACATGGTTTATATTCTGTGTATCCATCGGCCTTAGACTGAGGGATCTAGGCAGGTTTCTGTATGTAAGTTATACATTAATAGAAAGGAATATTCCAGAGGATATCAAAGTTTCACGTTCTGTCTTTGTAAGGTAGTACAGGGAAGGGCGGCATGGGACCAGAGCCATGTCCATGCATGGTTGTTGAGGCTTTATGGTTTGAAATCTTTCCAGAATGTGTCTTTCTGGGAATGGACATTAATAAGAAAACTTAGTACAAGGACTCACCATTGGGATACCAAAAAGGTTGAACTCAAGCATGCCAGGGATGGACCACTGAAGGTCACTCCAGGTGGCCGAGTTGTCCCCTAGCCAATGGGCTGCGAACTTGCCTGACCCCGCAAAGGTAGAACGCGTTAAGATGAAGCTTCTCTTCCCAGGGAACACAGTCTTGACAGCTCTGGAAGGGAAAGAGGTTGAGGGGGCGAAACTGTAACTGCAGACAGTCTAGGCCTGGGATACAGTAACAATGCCAAGTAATTGTCAAATGTCCCATTCGTCTCATCTTTGTCATTTCAACAGGGTCAAAATGGCTGTTGGGAGACGTTTATCATGAACGGCATTTTTTTGGTTTGGTTTGGTTTGGTTTTAAAGTATTTCATGCACATCATTAACCCCATAATTTCAAAGAATTTCAAAAGTAACTTTGAAAAGGTTTCTAGAAAAAGATGAAATTTAACTTTATGCAGATATATATGCATCGATTTCTCATAACACCAGAAATACAAATACAAATATGGACTTACTTACCAGCCTTCTGAAAGTTCAACTTTTAAATATATATACTTTGGAAATCACTTTGTAGTTAAAAAAAGACTTTTAAATTGTATGTATGTACATTTATAACTAAATATAAGTACATACTAACCCTAATTTTAAGTATGCATGTACATATAATTAAAAAGCTTTGTGGGCTGGGTATGTAGGTCTGCAATAGAGCACTTTCCTAGAATGCGAAAGTACTGGGTTTAATCCTCAGCACTGGAATCCCTTTGAAAATGTCTACAATTACACCCACTAACTTGATCATGAATGAAGGAATTTTAGGTCTGGTCTCCTGCTGTCACAACAAGCAGAAAGGAAAAGACATGGCTTTGGACTCACAGAGAAAAGAGCCCAGATTTTACTTTTCCAATGTATTCGCTGTTTAACCTTGGGCAAAGGAAGAAATTCACTTTCTTCCATCTAACTTGTCATTCTTTCATTTACTCATTTTGTTCTTTCATTTTACAGACACCACAAATCTTTGTTGGATTTCTTCTTCCTTCTATGCCAGCAAGTTTCTTTGCTCAATTATGATGGGTATAATTATCATGGGAAGTAGTCTCCCAGTTCCTAGTGAGCCATCATTTGATCCAGATCAACCTATAGGAACATTGATCTCACCCTTCAGTGGCGATCGCCATGGAGTAACCATACAGGTTGTGCACGTCGTACTGCTTGCCCCACTGCTGTACTGCATCCATGCAGAGAGTCTTGGCGAACAGGTATCCATCAAGGACCCCTGAAACAAAAGAGGCATGGGTCAGTGAGGCCCTTCAAAGCACATTTCCTCACCTCACCCATCACCCTGGAAAGCTGGCTCCCACTGAGCAGCCATTTCTGGTGGCCAAGCTAATAACAATGGTACTGCTTTGCCATTACAGTGTATACTTGAGGTAGTTCCTCTAATACAGAACTTGTCCTGACCCTCACTACCTCATCCCCTGGCTTCCCATGTGACCAGGGCACGCATTCAAGAGCGAAAGAGGCTAGTCACACAACAGCTTCAATCTAAATCCTTTCAAATAAGTTAAGCAACCCAAGAATAGAAATATTGGATGAAAGTTTGATTTATGATTCCTTCTTTGGCCTTAATTATACATTATAGAAAATGATTTTTTTTGGTGTTGGTGGCTAACTCCTATAAGTCTTCCTACTGAGGAGGCTGAGATCTGAGGATCATGGTTCAAAGCTAGCCTGGTCAAACAAATCTGCAAAAGTCTGATCTCTAATTAACCAGCAAAAAGCAGGAAATGGAGGTATAGCTCAATCGTAAAACGTTAGCCATAAGTGAAAAGGCGAAACTGCGAGTAGGAAGCCCTGCGTCAATCCCTAGTACTGGCACATACACAGAGGGATGATTTTCAGTGTTGGGTTTGTTCATCTGTTTTCTACTTCCATGTACCACTCTGGTTCTGATCCAAATTACTTTTCTGATCTTAACTAATCTAATAGCTTCTTTGTCTGGGTTTTTAACAGTATTTTTTGTCTTTTCTTTTTTTTGGTACTAGGGATTTAATTCAGGACATTTGCACTTGCTAGTCAAGCATTTTGCCACTGAGCTACATCCCATCCCTCTACTAGCTTCTTAATGGCTTATTTCCTTCTAACATGTAATCCATATTACAAATTGATAGTTACAAAACTATTGTGCTACCATACTTCCCTCTAGATAAATCATACAAAGCTTCTACCACAAGAAATAATGACATATGAACTGTTTAGGCTCCTATCCAAGCCCCTGGGTATTTGATTCTGATCTATATGTACCAAATTCTTTCTTTTACACCACGCTGAAATCAGCCTAAACTGTTATGAGTCTAGACATATCCTCCTTTTCTCAATCAAGATACAATTTGTACTATAGCCTGTATCATTCTTTATATTATAGTTCCAAGGCCATACCCTGAGAGATAGGTATCTAAAGTTCAGTTAAAGCTTGGGAAGGACATATTTGCTGACCTCCCAGGCCATAGCTCTGGCTGTCTTTCATTCAGTGGCTCATGTCTGCCTTCCTCGCCTGAAGATCAAAGACTACTCATCAGCTCCCTTTCTAGGAAGCCCCAGCTTGCAGGACACACACTCCACTGTAACATTAGACTATCCTTCCCCTAGAAATAGCATGGATTACAGGCGGAAGGACTAGATTTCCCCTTAGAAAACCATAGGGAGGGCATTCCCTTTATCTTGTGCACTTATATACACATTACCTTTCCAGTGTGTTCAGATCTATCCTTCTAAATTTGAAATATCCCATGTGGAATCAAGCTGACCACAAAGACTTACTGGGAGTGAATGGGGGATGATTGAGGGTGTTTGTGGCACATCCTGAAATGGAACCATCAACAAAGTTGGAGACTTCATTCATATCCTACAAGACAAATAGTAAAAACTATTAAGTAAGGTAATATATGACACAATATTAAGTGGAATCAGAGAAATAATTCTATGTACTTATTCATAAAGGAGTCCCTTACATGCAAGTAATATAATAGATATTCCTGTCTTTCCTACTCAAGGAAAATTTTTTTTCTTATAAAGATACTGTACAGAGGGGTCACAGTTACATGAGTAAGGTAATGAGTACATTTCTTGTTGAGCATTGCTACCCCTTCCTTTGTTTTTCTTCTACTATCCCTTCCCTCCCTCCCTCCCTCCCTCCTCCTCCCCCGAAGTTGTAAAGTTCATTTCCAATATAGTGTCTTGTGAGTATCATTGTTACAATGGGTCATCCTGTACCCTTATTTCAACATTTTGTTACTCCCCTTCCCCTTCCCAAATTAGAAAAATGTATATACAAGATGCAGGGTACCAAAATCAAATACGGTGACAACAGGGACTATACCATAGGAAGAAGAACATACAAAAGAAAAAAAAAGAAAATCACATAGTACATTAAAAACAACAACAAAGAAAAACCTCTTGTATCTATATCTTAGGGTTCATTTCACTTAGCATCATCTTACATAGCTTTTGAGCTTTTCTGCTCATATCTTAGACATATATTAATTATTGCATTATAAAGGAGAATTTCTCAGAGAAGATCCCTAGGATCCTTTCTAATGATCTATATCTATAATCACAGCAAATGAGCAATCCCCAAATATATTAGGCAAAATAAATGCCAACTTATACTCTATGTAGACAAATAGAACCATGAATTCACAAACATAGAAGAACACACATATAAATATACACAGAAAAAGAGAGGCTGAGAACAGGGTTTGCATGTTCCAAAGCTATGAAAATAAAAGGTCTGGAAAAATGCATGCCAAAATGATCATGATAGATGTCTTTGGCTGCTATCATTCTATTTCAATTTGGCTTTTCCTGTTTTAGCTGTCTGTATTATTTAAATTTTACATGGTTCTCTTATGAATAGGAAAAGAAACCCACAAAAACTCCCTGCATTTTGCTGGGCTGCAGCAACTAATTTTTATACTTGTTTTTTATTTCTCACTATATGAGATATTTCCCCTTCCTCATGTCAGCCACAGAGAACTTTGTCTTTAACTGTTCTGTTCAACATGTCCAAATGAAAGAGGCAATTGGATAATTGCTTTCCTTATGTCAATGAGAGCTATTTTGACATCAGCTTATTCATTTGTAAAAGAAAGATGGATTTAAGAACTTGGGGTAAGATTGTTTGAATAATAAAACAGGGAATACTAGAAATTGTGGTTATATTTGTTTTCCTCTCTTCCCCCTCTTATGTTCCATGACTCAAAGACATAGACAGAGCTATAGACACTGAATACTCATCCCTACGTATCAACGTGATAAGTACTCACAATCCAAATTCCATCAAACTCCACTTGGTTGTGAAAAAGCGCAAATTCATTTGCCCACCAAGCAGCACAGTTGGGATTGGAATAATCAGGGAAGACGGTTTTCCCAGGCCAGACCTGAAAGGGTTAAAAAAAAGAAACACCAATAGGAGTGAATTAAGTGACCATAGAGCAAAGCAAAGACCTTTGCATAGACATTCCTAATATGATTGTAGAGAAAAGAGGTATCAGGCATAGGCCCTTTAGTTAGAAAAGTGAATAATTCAGACTTCAGATAATAAATGTTAGGAATAATTAATCACTTGCAGAAAAATTTACTTTTAAAAAACTAGCTAATGCTTAATGAGCAAATGCATGGATAAAGCATTTTCAAAGCTCTCATTTTTGCCTCAGGGTTACCCTTCCTATGACTTTCTCCATCGTCATTCCTACGAAGAGGAATGGGGAGTATTTTATGTGAATTTCAACCGGTCCCTTAGCACCTGTGTATTCTTACATCCTTCCCTTTCTCTATTCTCTCCATATCCAACATCTCTCACACACCATACTCTGAAAAGGTCATCAGTGCTATCAAAAGTGAAGCACCAGGTAACACCTTGAAAAGCCAGGTCAAATAAATATGTGAGGAAAAAGCAGTCAAGTGGATAAATACTGTAGAAAAACTAAGAACAAGACACATGGTATTACCCTTGGATTTCACATGCATGTCATTGATACTATATAAAGTTAGTGGGGTGATGGGGCAGAATGGAGGCCAAAGTCACTGAAGAGGGGATGAGGTGAGGAAGTAGACACCCAGAGAGTAAGCTATGTAAGAGGTAGGATTGTTGGTAGGTATCTGGGAATAAAAGGCAAGTTTATCCCAGGATGTACATAGCATTTGAAAATGTACAGCATAATACTCTTTCTCTCTTTCTCAGTCTCTCTCTTTTTGTCACTCTCTTGTTCTCTCCCCCCCACACACACACACCTGTTTCCCCCATCAAGTTACCTCCCCAATGAGTGGGTTTACTCCATTTGAATCATTCACCCATATCTTCAGAGCTGAGCCCCTGTCGTATGGGCTATAAGGATGACTTAGGGAAGAGTTGTTGGAGATGGCTGGATCCTAAGGGGGAAACACACGTAAGAAGCCAGCCTTAAACTGGAAGCGCTGAAAAGAGAATGGGAATTCAGGAAGCAAGAAAGTGGAGGTAGGTATTTGATAAGAAAGAGCAAATGATCTGAGAGAACACACCACATATCACAAGAGATGACAAAGGCAGCACATACCACAATGATGACAAATTTCTGTCCATTTCCATGTAACTCCTTAACAAATTCAGGGAGGCCTTTAAAACCCACTGGGTTGTAAGTAAAGTCCTTCCTCTCATCCATGTAATCAATATCACCATGCTGAACATCCTGAAAGAAAACACAAGTCCACCTTATCAGTGTTTATTGTATTTTATTATTGTTTTATTGTATTTTATTATATTTTATTCTTTATTACTGTATTTTATTATTTTAATTCTTGTGCCAGGTCTGGGGCTCAAACTCAAAATCTAGAACTCTCACTCAGCTCTTTTGCTCATGGCTGGTGCTCTATCATTTGATCCATGTTTCCAGTCCATCTTTGTTGCAGGTTAACTAGAGAAGAGGTTTCATAGATTGCAAACCATGATCCTCAGATCTCAGCTTCCTAAAAGCTATAAGTACAGGCATGACCCACCAGCAAGCATCATTTATCAGTATTATTATACAAGATATATGTGAGCTCTATCCTGAGATCTAAACAGAGTGCTAAACAGTCTAGCATCCAAGTACTCCTATATCAGGGGAGTTTTAAAAACAAATGTCCCATTCTTTTTCTAAAGCCTGTCCCCACCCATGCAATCAGGCTCACCCCACAATGTATGACAAACCACCAAAATGAATTGCACACTATATACAGTCACTAGAAGGAAAGTGCTATCTTTCCCCCATTTTGTCTAAATTTTTTATCCCACAGTTGTATGGCATTATAAAGTGAAATTAGAACAGTAAGTACAAGGAAATTTTACTAATAAAACATGAAAAGAAAAATAGATACAAAACCAAGTTGTCTCTTATCCATAAGTATGGTCTTTACTTTTACCACTAAAAGAAAATGAGTACAATGCCTGGTAGCCCAACAAAAACCTCCAGTATTTTAAATGCATCAAGTTCTTTTAGTCCAGCACTGGTGGTTCGTGTCAGCTACCCTAGCTCCTCAGGAGGCTGAGATCCTGTGTTCAATGGCAACCCAAGGATGTCATGAGGCTGACTGTGGTTCAAAGTCCACCTAAGGAAAAAAGTCTACAAGACTCCATCTCCAAAATAACCAGCAAAAAGCCAAGCTGCAGGCATAACTTAAGTGGTAAAGCATCAGCTAACAAGCAAGCCAAGAAAACAATAAGCCCTAAGTTCAAACCCTGGTACCAATAAAGTACAAAGGAGAGAAAGCATGAGTATGAGTGTCTGTTCTTTTACTTCTAGAGAATTTCTTTATTTTTATTTGTGGAGAACTGTTTAGTGCTTTACTTACGTAAGGGAGTTGTGCTGCACGGTTTCTGTCTACGACTACTTTCATTTTTTCTAGGGTTCCATAATCATATCGACTAAGGTGAAATCCCAGTGTCCAGTATGAAGGCAGGGATGGCAGTCCAATGAGCTAGGAGAAACACAGGAAATGAAAGTGAGCAACATTTTTGTCAATTTAAGATTATGTGCAGGTTTAGGGAGAAAAGCATACTACATTTTCCAACACAGGGATTCATTCATGTCAGAATATTATTTGTTTATCTGGCCCCCCTTTCATCATGAAGGGCAGGCTCTGCTTGGCATCTATGTAGTCTCCAATCTTTGTATAATGTAATATGCTATAAAGCAATTCCCATGGAACATAGGTAATTTAGCCTTTAATATTCTGAATCTGTAATTGTAGGTTTACCTGGGTCACAGTAGATTAAGCATATTTGTAAAGTATTTTCTATAAAGGATTTCCTTGGCCATAAATTATGATATTGTAAGTTTACCTCTAGATATTCTTGAACCACTTGCTCAGGTGTGTTTCCCAAGAATACATAGAAATCCAGAACACCGCCAATGGTGCGGTAAGTAACAGCTGGAGCAGGCTGGAGGCTGACCTCTTAAAAGACATGAAAAAGAAAAGAATTACTCTACCATAGTAACTACAAAGTTTTAGACCAGAGGATCACTAACCACCTTAACATTTATAATATTTCCATGCCTCTAATTTTGCATAGAAATAGACAAATGGATACACATGGACATGAGCTCATTTGTTCAATGACAGACTTTAATAGCTCCTTCTGCCAAGACCTAGGCTCTGATAAATATTTTTTAAAAGCCAACTGGCTCTTGAAAAGGTACAGAATAGGTCAGTTTGGCATAAAAAATACTTGGTGTAGAAGGTATTTTGTTATTGATACTTCTGATCTGCCTAGGAGTCATCTCTTAAATAATTCAGTTATTAAAACTATGAGCAACTCTAATCTTCTCTGAAAATAGTAAGTGCCAACAGACATTGTCACAAGACTAACATTTCCCCAAGTCAATTGTCTTCCTGTAAATTTCTTTCATCCCTTCAGTTTTGCCTATTAAGATAGTATACCAGCCCAGAATGTGAATCCTCCCTTTTGGTTACTCATCATGAGCCCAAAAGAGCATAGTTATATGTAAGCATTCCTTGCTGATCATTCTATCAGCTTAATTTTCAAGCTCCTTAGAATTAAATCTGATTGGGGAGAAGGAAGACATTTCCTTCTCACAAGAACCAGGGATCATGTTGTCCTTGCCCCTGCGTGAAACAATAATCCCCTCGGCCAGAATCCCTCAGGCTTAAATGGCATGTTTCTTTTATTCTAGTGCTTTAACTAAGGAAAAAAATTTCACTCTTCATGTTTGTCTTTTCATAAATATTCCTCTCATCTTTTACCCATGGCATTGCTGTTCATCAGAAACACCCCAAAGGATAATCCACTAGCATCTTCAAGACACAGGAAGAATGTCTGAGCACCATACAAGTTAGTTCCATCCTGCAGAAAGACAATTTGAACCATAAGCTTACAAAGTCCTGTCATGTAAATAACATATTGCCAGGCTGATTTGCAGAATCAGCCTTAATCATATGAGGAACCCCATGGTCACTGAAGTCACAAATTTTAAAAGATAGAGTTACCATTTGGTTGATATCAACCAGATTTATGAGTGTTTGGTTATATGAGGGAGTGATGATCATTTCTCTAGTAGGAATGTGGAGGCCGTGACATTTGCTAAAAGATGAAGATGCAGAAGCCATAAATCATAAGTTTTCTTAGAGCTGTGCCTTTTCCTGACAATCTTATATGAGCTCTACTGAATCTTAGTAAGAATAAACAACTAGATGAGCTCTAACCTAAATAGATCTTTTAGACTCCAGAACAGGACTTTTCTACCCAAACTGCTTCCAAGAACAATTAAAACAGAATCCCTGAGAGCAGAAGCACATACATCTTTGTTGGTTTGGGTTTGTGTTGTTGTCGTATACTTTCTCTAGACAATTCTACTGTGTAGTCACATTTGAAAATCAGTGCTCTATTATCTTGCTTGTCATCCTTTGGCAAAGGCACCCGTGTTAAATGTAAATTCAAATGCAGTACAAAGTGAGGTCCTGGATGCCGTGGCTCACACCTGTAATCCCAAACACTCAGAAGGCAGAGATTTGGGGGACTGCATTTCAAGGCTAGCCTGGGCAAAAAGTCAGACCCCTGTCTCAAACAATAGGTGGACATGGTGGAACACACCTTGTTTTCAGTCTAAGCAACATGGGCATGGAACAGAAATGAGAGAATATCTCAAAAATGACTAAAGCAGAAGGAACTGGTGGTGTGAATCAAATGGCAGAGCACTTGTCTAGCAAGTGGGAGGAGACTCTGGAGGAGAGGGAAGAGAAGCAGTAGAAGCCCACGATTCCCACATTGGTGTGCAGGTCTACAGCTCCCTGGTTTAATGTCCATCACTAGCTATTCCTATACAGGCTATGGGTTCTGCAGCTTCTCTGCTTTGCTGACAGGCTTGAGTAGCAGAGAGCACAGGCTTTAGGTAGGACTGTGTAGGGATCAGATCCTGTGGCTGCTTCTTACAAACTCTTCACCTTAGGCTATGTTAAATGAGATATTATTTCTTATTCTGTCTTAGGTTATTTTACTACATAGAAATAATATAAAAAGCTGGGTACTGGTGGCTTATGCCGGTAATCCTAGCTACTCAGGAGGCTAAGATCTGAGGACTGTGGTTCAAAGCCAGCCCAGGCAGGAAAGTCTGTGAGACTCATCTCCAATTAATCACTAGAAAACCGGAAGTGGCACTGTGGCTCAAGTGGTAGAGCGCTAGCCTTGAGCTGAAGAGCACAAGGACAGTACCCAGGCCCAGAGTTCAAGCCCCATGACCAAAAGAAAAAGAAAAGAAAGAAATAATATACAAAGCCAGACAATATATAGAGTGGTGCTGCACTCCTGTAATCCCAGCAGTTAGAAGCTAACACAGGAGAGTCACAAGTTCAAAGCAAGCCTGAACTATATAGGCAATACGCTGTTTCAAAAAATGGGGTAAAAGGAGGAAGGAAGGAAGGAAGAAAGGAAGGAAGGAAGGAAGAAAGGAAGGAAGGAAGGAAGGAAGGGAGGAAGGAAATACAAGCGTGGTTGTTTATAAAATATTGCTATGACCTTCTTTCATCCAGTGTTAGTTTTGTTTACTCAGAAAAATTCCTGAACTATGAAGTATTGCTCTTCATAGAGAAAAATGTTGCCTCAAATCTTAGCAGCCAAAGCAAAAAAATAAAATAAAAACAATAAAAATAAAACAAAATAGTAACAAGAGAACATTATCTATTCTTTTATTGCTTTGATCATTCTTTCCATAAGAATGATTTGATATACTCAAGGTCAATCTAAATTATGGAGGTCATAATCAACTATTATTCAAAATACAGATAGAAGCAACCTTTCCTCCACAATCAGTTAGTGTTAAGAGAAAATACAATACAAATTGTTGAGCAATTGTTGACTTTTTATGTGACAGCCATTCTGCTAAATACTTCTCATGTATTGACTTCTTTACTCCTCCAGTACTGCAGGATAAGGATATTATCCCCATTTCACAGGTGAGAAAAAAAAAACCAGAGAACTAAGTAACTAACTTACCCAGAACCACATAACTGGTAAGTAGCAGAGCCCAAATTCCTACACAACTATTTTATTGTGGTATCAGAAGTGACCAACAAGATTGAGGCTATAATATCCTTTGGAAGCAGGCCCAACCTGAAAGTTTACACCAAAGACTCCAAGTTCGGCCTACCCCTACCAGACAAATATGCTTACCCCATTGGGGGTGGTGTCCCTGGCAAATATGGGCCACGTCTTCCAGTTCATGTCGTGCCGGTACTGCCGGTGCACGTGCTCTCCCAGACCATACACATTAGCACTGGGCAAGCGAATGGAAAGCTGAAGAAACTGGTCTGCAAACAGGAGAGGCCCAATGCCCGAGTCAAACCTAGACACAGTGCAAAACACAGGAATGAGTGACAAGTGAGAATGGAGAATGGACCTTCAGATCTCACTTCCTCCATAGCAGTCATTTGGTTTAGTCAGTCCCATTTGCCCTGCTATGACATTTAACCATGGATACAAAGAGTTCAGGACTCCTGCATAGCACAGTTTCTTCTATTTGTCCCCCCCACCAGTACCCTACCATAAGACCAGATGCTATATTTTCATGATCACTGATATTTACTGATGAGTTGGACAGATGGGAGAAAGGAAAAAATAAAGAAGAAAACATTGATTGTGCAAACAGAAGGCCAAAAGAGAAGAAAAATGAGACAGTCATACACATATGGAAGCAGAGAAGCCCACCACCAATGGACTAACAGTCCTCAGGAACATTGTTGAAATGCACTCTTCCTCCAGCTCACAGGCCTCCCTTCACCATAACCTCCCTTGTCTAGTCCCAGAGACGTTTCTCAAACTCACAGGACACGGTTGTTGCTTCTTCTGGTCACTTTGATGCTAAATGGCTGTTTGGAGACCTCAACCTCGTAGTTCAAGGAGGAAGCAGCATTTCCACGGAAGGGTTGCACGTGTTCATGGGGTACTTCATACCTGTCTTTGGATTGGTCAGTCAACTGCCACAAGAGATGAATAGAAACTGAGTCAAAATGAAAACTATCCTGATTTTCAAACATTAGAAGTGTCCCCTACTAACACCTATGCTTCCCAAAATCTGCATGGTTGGAAAAAGCAGTCAGATACTGGTTAAACTGGTCCTGTCTTAGGATATGGACTCATCATGCCATCAACTTCAAAGATTCAACCATGGGACATGTTACTCTTTATGTAGAAACACATAGTGAAAGTCTGCAGAGATAGATTATCCCCCGAATACTCAGAGCTGTGATCATTTCTCTGTGCCCTACAAATTTCACAAGATATTGAGGCCAAATAAATGAAAGCTAAAGCCTACCCAATAAATTCTACATGTGGGTTTAGAAAGTTATCATGCAAAAGAAAGTCTATAGAAGATTTCAGCATACAAGTGCTAAATAATAATGAGTCGAAAAAATGACACCACCCCCACCCCCATTAGCACCATTTTCTACTTTGCAGGAACCGTCGTCCTCAAGAAGAGAACAGAGCATCTTAAAAAGATTTTTTTGAAAAGAACCAAATTACAACCTTAAAGTGGAAACGGTTAGATGTCTGGTATTCTGCTGTCAGGAGGATGTTGTCAATGTTATTTCCAAATAGGGATGAAGATGGCAGACTTTTCAACTGGGCTGTGAATCCTAACACGTAGAGAAGAAAAGGATTTCATAGTTGGTTCTGTAAATTCTCAAATAATAGCTACATAAAACTTAACCTTCAGGCCAATGGGACTAATGAAAGGAAGAGAAAAAAGAGGCCAAAGAAGGGAGGGAATAAATATATATCCCACTGTATACACTGTATCCTGGTCCCAATCTGGAAACTAGTTAGTATTACTATCTTATCTAAAAGTCTATGGCTCTTTTCTACAAAATCTGATTGAAAACTGCCCTCACAAGGACTCTTATGTTACTAGCTCATCAGTCTTTCTGTATTGATCAAATACTTTTTATGCTCTTTACATATATATGTATATATATGCACACATATATGCATACATATATGCATATGTATGTATATGCACACATTACCCCTTCTTAGTTATTTTAATATTACATCATAGGTGATGACACACATTGATGCCATCTCCCTAATGAAATGGAAATCAAGTGAGAGTTAAGGCCTTGTAGAAGAACCCATCAAGCCCAGAGCATCTGCAAAGGACTATACTTCTTCCTTTATACTAGGAAGTTCCCCCAAATACTCACCTGCTCCTACCTCCCACCCCCCAAATTGTTCATGATGAGGCTCTCCATTTAGGATAGGAAAATGAAGAGCAGACAATCTGTTAATAACTGCTAACATTGACAGGCACATTTTGTAACATGCTTGTAAAACTGTAATTGTTTCTCACTCATACAAGTTATATCCCACTAAAGTCAAAAGTAATATCAGAGTTGCATGAGTTCAAATCCCTATCTCATGCAATAGTTATAAACTTAAGAACAAAAACATTCATGACAATTATACAAGGTCACAAAGGTATGGAGAGAGGTGAAGCAAGAAACAGAATGTGGTTTCCAAACTCCCAGCAGAGGGTGACTATTGCTCGATGCCAAAATGGGTCGTGGCTAAGAGCAGTGCTCACGTCTGTCACCATAGCAGCATGGCTGCAGAGTGGCCCCTGCATGCTGCCACAGGGCCCTGCACAGATACCAGAGCCTGCAGAAGGTCTGGGGCTCCTGCCTGCCCACAGAGTCTCACGTACCTGCATTTGTGTTTGCAAGATCACCCTCTATGTTGTAGCCATGATTCTTGGAATAGTAGCACCAGGGGATGTCTGTGGTTCCCTGAGGGTTCCAACAACAGCCACGCTGGTCACATATGTCCTGAAATGATAGATTAATCCATCTGGAGAAGAACAAGTCATCTAATTTCAGATCTTCATAGGAATAACTTTGTTTTACAAATGAGAGAATTCAACCCAAGGGGCAGTGTTCACTCGCAATCTTACTAGCTTGTGTCCTTCTATGTAACAGTATAGGGGACACATTGCATCCTCTATCTTTCACACTAAAACCAATTAATACACCTAAAAATTCTAAACTTTAATATAGTTATATCACCAGTATATTTACAAATTTACAAATGGAATTTCATGTATACTTGCTTTGACTTTTTTAAAGGGGGGGTGGGGTGATGGAAGAGGTGACCAGGACAAAATGTACTGTACTCACAAACTGACATGCTGAATTGAAATAAATCCCTTTGTAAAACCTCTTGCAGAGACTTGCAGCCACCTTTATCCAGAGGCCTTCAAATCAAAATAATTTTTTAAAATACTGCATGTGTGTAGATTATAAATAGGTGGCATGTACATGTTTTTCAACTCCTTTCAAAACAAAAAAAAAGATCTTTCACTGACACATTTGCTCTATTTAAGATAAATAAAGAGAAATCTCTTTCTTGAGTGTGAGCCACAGGTGGAGACTTGCAACTAATAGAAAATAGGATAATACTTTCTAGATTAGACCTCAGAAAGACAGTGATTTCTTGCTTGCTCTCTTCCACTTTCTTAGTTGAAGTCCTCAGCGTGGACAAAGCAAGTCTTCCTATCACATGCCAAGATACTGAAAGGAGGTCTCCAGCCAGTAGCCAGCAAGAAACTCAGATAAGAGACTCTGAGATAGAGGCATCCAGCTCAACAAGGCCAGATTTTCAACTCTATGAACCAAGAAAATAAGGTCTGTGATAGTATTCCATCAAGCGTTGGGATAATGTAGGTTCAGGTGTAGCTCAGTGGCAAAGCACTTCCTTAGCTAGCAAGAGGCCCTGGTTTTAATTTCCAATCAAATAAGAAAAGACTCTTTTACATCTCATTTTGCAGATGAAGCCCATGAGGCCCACAGCCGTGAAGCAATAAGCTGAAAGTCACTAGCTGCTGAGGATGAAAACAAGCTTAGTTCCCTCATGATTCCCTTTCTTTTGTGTTCTGGAATGGACACAGCTACACACATTTTTCAGAACAATAAGACAATCTCTCACAAATGATAAGGATGGTTAGTATCTTGCTGAGCCATACGAATTATTGCATTTAATCAAAAACTAATTTTTATACTGAAAGTCAAGTGATTGTGCATTCTTTATCTAAAATGGTTGACACTAGTTTAGATTGCAGGTATTTTTTCAGATTTTGGAACATTGGTCTGTACGTGATGAGATGTATTCAGGTAGGAGAAGTACTGGGTTTGAGCTTAGAGCCTCACGCTTGATTAGCTTGCTGGCTAAGCTTACTTTCTTGCTAGGTTGGTACACTATCACTTAAGCCATACATCTAGCCCTGCTTTTTACTGGATATTTTCAGGATAGAATCATGAGAATTTTTCTACCCAGGGCTGGCCTCAAACCACATTCCTCCCACTCTCAGTCTCCTGAGTAGCTAGAAATACACTTGTGACACACTGGAGCCCAGCAAGGTATAGCCCACAACCTCTAACTTTATGATCTGGATTCTGCCTGAAAGGTGGAAAGCAAGTTCTATAAGCGGCCTTCCTTGCTGTGGAATCACATTGCACTGTGAACACAACTTTAATCAGCTGCCAGTATCTTGTTCTTTCCTTTTTTTATTTTTTTTATTTTTATTTTTATTTTTATTTTTTTGGTCAATCATGGGGCTTGGGCGCTGTCCCTCAGCTCTTCAGCTCAAGGCTAGTGCTCTACCACTTGAGGCATAACGCCACTTCTGGCTTTTTCTGTTTATTTGGTGCTGAGAAATCAAACCCAGGGTCTCATACATATGAGGCAAGCACTCTACCACTGAGCCACTTTCTGAGCCCCCTTGTACTTTCCTCTCAAACCTCATCAGAAGAAACTTCAGTCTTAGTGAACATGAGAAAGGTGTTGTAAAAGTGTCAAATAGGATGGCTTCAGTACACTCTCCAGAGATTAATCATGTTTTCACTGAGCTGGAAAGGGCAAAGATCAGACTGGCTAAAGCAGCAAGGTTATAAACAGCCCCTGTTAACTAACTTGAAACTACCAGTGAAAGTGGAAGATGCTGAACAAGACCTAGAGGACAAGAAAGTAAGACAGATATGAAACTCTGGAAAGCACCTTTAGAGCGACCTGTCAGGATGGAAAGAATCAGATCCAACACACGAACTAGCACTTTAGGCTTGAAGTGACAATGACAGGACACTGCTGAGACAGTATAGAATATGCAACTACCAATGCAGTGCTGAGGGAGATTTTAGGATTGTAACATGTTCCCTCAGTTCAAGGCAGGGGACAGAATAGCAAACAAAGTCCAACAAAAGCCTGGCGCCAGTGGCTCATGCCTGTAATCCTAGCTATTCAGGAGGCTGAGATCTTGAGAATCGCAGTTCAAAGCCAGCCCAGGCAGGAAAAGTCCATGAGACTCTTATCTCCAATAAACCACTAGAAAACTGGAAGTGGCACTGTGGCTCAAGCAGTAGAACACTTGCCTTGAGCTGAAGAGCACAGGGACAGCGCCCAAGCCCAGAGTTCAAGCCCCCTGACCAACCAAAACATAAAAAATAAAAAAAAGTAAGAAATGAAGATAATCACTTCCTCAAAATGGAAAAGTTTAAAAAGACTGTCTATTCCATATACTATTAAGGTTACAGAGATTGATAATAAGATGGTTAGTTAGCACAGCCACTTTGGAGAACAATTTGAAGATATATACTCAAGGAACACATAAATAGAAAAATTTGTAAAAATAATTTTCATATAGAATGAAATTTATAATATATACTATAGTTTATAGTCATTCTCATATTGATCAATGTTTGAGGTCCATGGCTCTCAACACTGTCATTTTAGATCATGTGTGGGTCACTTGGTAAATATTCCAAGAATAATCACATCTGAGCTGTTTTCTTGTGAATTAAATTAGAATTTCTGGGTGAGCCCAAGGAATGGGTGTCTTTAAATCTTTTCGCCTAATTTTGATGGAGAGCTAAGACTGAACCACAGCTCAAAAAAAACAGCTCCCAGGGGCTGGGGAGGCGGCTCCGTAGTAGAGCGTGTGCCTTGCATGCCTGAGGCCCTGGGTTCGATTCCTCAGTACCACATAAGCAAAAAGAAAAAAGCCAGAAGTGATGCTGTGGCTCAAGTGGTAGAGCACTAGCCTTGAGCTGAAGAGCTGAGGGACAGCGCTCAGGCCCAGAGTTCAGGCCCCACGACAGGACCCAAAAAAGAAAAAAAAAGAAAAAGAAAACCAGCACCATAACACCTGCAATGCCCACTAACAATGGCAGAAAGGAAAAGGAGAAAGATGAAAATGGCATCTATGACTCAGACTGTTATAGGAAAAAAGGAAGGGAGCTCCCAGGTCTTTATGGTATTGATTAGTATGGAAGACGCAGAAGAGAACTGGAAAAAATATGAAGGGATCTATCACAACCCCTCTCTCCTAATATTCTAATATTTTCCCTAGTGGGTATGTATGCCTTTCTATTTTAAAAACACTGTCTCATGTCTGCCTTGGCAGCACATATACTAAAATTGGAACGATACAGAGAAGATTAGCATGGCCCCTGCGCAAGGATGACATGCAAATTCGTGAAGCGTTCCATATTTTTATTTGTGGAGGGGAAGGGGAAAAAAAACAAATCGTTTAAACAGGGATACAGGTGGACCCATTGCAACAATGAGATGTACAAGACGTTATGTCGAAAACACAAACTCTACAACTTTGGCAGGGAGTGGAGGGGGGGGCAGAGATGGGAAGGGATGGGAAGGGGAAACAAAGGAGGAGGCAACAATGCTTGATAAGAAATGTACTCATTATCTTGCCCATGTAATTGTAACCCCTCTGTATGGTATTTTCACACACACACAAAAAAAAAGAAAGAAAGAAAGTAATCAGAATTTACCAAAAAAAAAAAAAAACACTGTCTCAAATATTTCAATATAAAAAAGAGAAATTGTCTCTCTATATGTCCCAAAAAACATGTCAGAGGTAAAAGTCCACTATCAACAAGATAACTGAGTAATGATTTCATATCTTTTTCAGTGGGTTAAAATAATTTACTGCTAAGATTACTGGTGCCTTGGAATGCATAAATATTTTATGTCCTTAGGAAGCAACAGACCAAAGAATCTTTTTTTTTTTGGGGGGGGGTCCAGTCGTGGGCCTGAACTCTGTGCCTGGGCGCTGTCCCTCAACTCTTCAGCTCAACGCTAGTGCTCTACCACTTGAGCCACAGTGCCACTTCCAGCTTTTTTTTTCTGCTTATGTGGTGCTGAGGAATCAAACCCAGAGCCTCATGCATGCAAGGCAAGCGCTCTACCACTGAGCCACCTTCCCAGCCCCAAACAATCTTTTAAAATCAGGACTTCAGCAATTACTGCATTTAGAAAAGAGCAAGGACAGTTGCCAGGGCAGACAGGAAGAGCTAAAGGCATATGATCTGAGGCCCAGAAAGAGCTGGTTTAAGCAAGTCTGCAGTAGTAGCTATCTCTGCCACTGGAACGAATTGGCTGACTCCTTCCAGTCCATATTAGACTGGGTTAATCCACTCTGCACTCTCCCTAAGCCTGATACTAGTTCTTCCACTGCTGTCTGTCAGTTCAAACTGAGAAACTGTAGAAGTAAAGGAACTTTACTTGGTGTTGAGAATTTCAGTCCATCAGACACAGGTTCAGATAGCTTTGAATCTAGGCTAAAGAAGACGAGGTAAGCGAGACATTATAAGAACAAACAATATCATCGTATGACAAAGTAGCAACAAGTCTATTGCAGTTGAAAATAGGGGCAAGGTGACCGAAGACTAAAAAAAGAATGTCCATGTTAATGAAAGTAGCTATAAAACCCAGTCTGATAGCCTCTTTCTGTGCATGGCACCACAGAACCACCTGTTCTAGCTGCCTGCAGACAAAGGGTGAAGGTACCCACAGTCCACATTCCAGCAGACAAAAGGTGAAGGCACTACAGTCCACATTCCAGCCAGGAGAGAAGCCTGCATAAATCCCTCTTCTCAGGACTCCTCAGTCCGATTTCCAAAAGCTTTATCAATGTTGCTTTCACTGTGATTTTTATTTCCATACTCTGTGCTGGTCACCCTTCTTCATGAGTCTGAGATGGCTCATGACAGATTTGACAGAGAAGGTGATGCTGGGCTGCTTCTGGGCCTGGCTAGAAAAAAATTTCCCTGTATACTCTGGCAGTCTTGGTCTGTAAGAAGTCCAGCCACCCTGCTGACGAGACCACTCAGGGAGCCTCTGAGACCACAAGGAAGGAGAAAGTTGCCAAAAGAAAATAAATAAAATAAAATGCCAAGCCAGACATGGGTGGCTCACACCTGTAATCCTAGCTACTCAAGAAGCTGAGATCTGAGGATCGTGCTTCAAAGCTAATCCAGGCAGTAAAGACCATGAGACTCTTACTTCTGACCACTAGAAAATGAGAAGTGGAGCTGTGGCTCAAAGTGGTAGAGTGCTAGCCTTGAACACAAAAGCTCAGGGACAGCTCCCAGGCCCTGAGTTCAAGCCCCAAGATTGACAAAAACATAAATAAAATATGCCAGAACTTAATGCTGAGAGAGCAGTAGGGTAATATTTCATTTTCTAACTGAGGCAGGCACTTCAGAAGTAAAAACACATGATAAGAAAAGAATTCCAATACAACTCTACTCGTGAAAATTGTCCTTTGCTAGTTTGAGGTGTAGCAACTTTGAAAAAAAAATGAAAGAATGACCTTAATCTCAACTCAGGCAAATATCTGAACTATACATTATATCACAACACAGTTTTTGAAAATTAATCTTACCACTTCTCTCATCACAAGACAACATCCAATAGTAAAGGTTTTTAAAGAACTCTGCCACCTCTGCCAATCTTTCTACTGCCCCAAGTTAGACTCTGGTGTATTTTCAGAGAACATTTTCCAGGACTTTAGAGATCACTATTTTAACATCTCTTTAGGCAGTATTCAGTAGTCCTTTGTTTAATGAATAAGTATATTTGAGCATATACAGTCCCCTTTCACTGATAAGGATTTGACAATATACAAGGAGATAGGACAGTAATTGAGTGGTACAGGTTTTCAGAAGCAAAGCCAGGTTGAGAACTGAGTATTCTGGTTCCTCTACCATGTTCTGGTCCAATGCCTGCACCATCCACTCAACATGTGGAACAAATCCACATCTATTTCTGGGACCTTAGATCTCACTGTTTTCCTAGCACCAACTAATACCTCTTAAATAATGTTGTATAAACTTAAGGTGGAGACCTATAATTATCTAAGCAAACAAAACATCTTTGCTAAAATATTATAAAACTTGGTCCCTTAAATACTTTGATAAGAAATTGGAATTTGGAAAAGGATATTATAAAGAAAAAGATAATAAAAGATTAAAAACTCTCAGAATAAAAAGAATGTGAACCTGACAAATATCAGAAAGTTTATGACTATTGTCCATGAATACAACAATGGAAAATTTCTGTCAGGTTAATCATTCTGCAAAGCTGCCTGTATATCTTCTCTCCCATATGCTCACAGTAATTCTAACACTAAAACATCAAAATGGTTAAAAGTATTATCTACCATCTCTTTCTTGAGATAGTATCTGGATATCTAGAATTTGACTAAATACATTTCTTGCTTCAACATCAATGGAATCTTTCAAATTAAGAATTATGGAAAAAAAGATAAGGAAAGTAATGGGTTGCTTTTGTATTAATAGTTTCAGGTCAGTATCAAGAACTGTCTCTGCCATCGGCAGGGGGAAATAGGCTAAGTATAGTTGTAGAGACACAAAGAAGATTAAATAGAATAATATGTTGTTAGTATGTTTGAGTTTGACCCAATTGTTCTACTGGCACTGGATAGAATGTGAATTACAGGGACCAACTGCAGTCAGGCCCATGGTGAAAGAGGTGGGGAAAATAAGATAACAAAAAAGCATTGGTATGGCACTAATGACATGTAAAATTCACCAAAATTCAGGAACAAGATGGGCTAGTGCAGGGGAGACACCTTAGGAAGGGACAGACTTGTTGGGGGGCTTCCAGGAAACTCATTTTCTAGCATACTATGAAGGGACAAGTTAATCAGTATGCATCCATTTTCTTCAAACCCACCACACCAAACATCCCTCTAGGAACAACATGAGCCAAGCCACAACTTCCCTTTCCCATTGACAACCATCTGCCATGAAGTTCCAACCTACCTCACAGTCTTACACATCTTCCTTTCAACACTCACCTACATCTTAGCTGTGTGGGACCATCCCATCTCTCATGTAGCTCTATAATGTCTCCTTGTACAACTTCATTTCGGCTATCTCTTCCCTCAGGAATTCACATTCCATTCCTTCTATCTCTGTTCACCAGATTCCTACTAGCTTACTCTTGCTTTCATGATCAGATAATAAAGTGCTCATAGAAAGGGAGGCCAATTCAGTTATCAGCAGTTGGACTCTAAAATACCAAGCCTCTCGCTTTATGGATGTGTTGCTTTCTGATTAAGAGTTGATTCCTCCTTGATTTTTTTTGTCTTTACTTTAGCCTGTGTGAGATAAGCAAGGAAACTCCCTCCATCCCTTCACTCCTACTTTGACCTTACCTCAACCCCCAACAACAGGACAGATTTATCTTCTAATACAAAAGAACTATCTTTGGGTATATAAGTCCTTTAGAAAAACAGAAACTCTATTTAGACTCCTGCAGTCCAGATCATCTAAGGTTGACCTCAGAGATAACTGTAGGAGTGCCACTCCTCCAAGCCATGCATGCAGCAAGCTCCATTCTGCACTTGATGCTAATCTGTCAGTGCATGCCAGTAAGTGTGTTCCATTTTCACTGAGACATCATTTTGTTCTAAAAGTAACAAGTAACTTATGACTTTATTACCATGATCATTTCAGCTGCTGTCCAAGAAACATTGGACTAAAGCAACTTTCCCTGTCCCTGCACTATCTTTACTCTTGGATTAATTACTTTCTTCCTCTATAGCACACCCTTGAAACTTTGTCCTTTGGATAATCATGCTTGGTGCACATGAATATTTTTATTGTATCCTAGATAACTTTCTGAAATACTGACAGGAGGAAGAGGCATATAGGGAAGGCAAAAGTAGAGGCAGTGATAGAGAGAACTAATCATCAGCATGTGCTGCTGGGGAAAAGATAGACATTTCAATTACGTTTACTCACTGTTTATTTCAAATTCAAATTTAACTGAGAAACCCATCCTTTCATTTGCTGAATCCAAGGAGATGCACTGCTATACAAGCATGGATACAGGATTAATTTTCCTGAGCCAGTAATAGCTGCCAAACTACCAACTCTTTTGAGAGTGAGGAACAGAAATTTAAAGAAAAGATAAGAAAGAAAGAAAGAAAGAAAGAAAGAAAGAAAGAAAGAAAGAAAGAAAGAAAGAAAGAAAGAAAGAAAGAAGAAAAACTTCCCAATGGTATAAACTCTTAAATGAAGACAAGATACATAGCTCAAACCTTTGTTGGTGGCTGGTCAGGAATGCAGTTTATCTGTTCCAAGTCATTCACCACGGGGCACTCAACAGAACTAGGAGTAGTACTTGTAGTCCCAGGACCTGGGGTACCAGTTGTCCCAGGATCTGTGTCTATCCCAAAAGCAAACATTAAATGACTATTAGACAGAATTTAACATTTTAGGTATTTTAAGCCCCAAATTCTCAATATTTAAAATTATACTATAATTATATAACAACAATGGGCTTTACTCTAAGTCCTCAAAATTTAAGCCAAAACTTCTTTTTGTTTTAGCTGACTATATTTATCTCTATTAAGCCCATAGCATCTCTTTCTACCCCTAACCATCTATAAAAAAAGGACCTTCATCATTAGGTTAGAAGCTCATGAAATACGGACCAACTTTAATTCTGGGATCAGAAAACTATAGCCTTCAAACCAAATCAAGTCAGATCTTATTTTCTAAACCAAGAATTGCTATAATACCAACACAGCAGATCTTCTGTTCAATGGCTGTATTAAATAGGGATGACCATATGATCATATGATCCACAAGATCTAAACTACTTCCTCCCTGGTACTTTATAGAAAAGTCTGTGGACCCTGAGTAGCAGGGGTTGGATTTGAAACATACACAGACTAGGTGTCCTCCAGAATCTGAATTTCACTGTCTTTCAGACACCAAAGTCCACTTCTGAGTAGGGATATTCTTCTGTAAAGTCATATGACAAAAAAATGTAAAATGAGTTCCACAGTCTAGAAACTGGGCCAGGGCTAGAGAGCTTTGATTTCAGATTTGAAAATCAGTAAGACAGAAAAAAAGGATTTATATTAAATTCTAAAGTAAAAAAGTAAACTTTCATTGAGAATTCTTTAATAAATTAATAATGACACTAACACAAAGCAACATGGCTTTTAGTGAGCTTCTCCCCTGGGGTTTCTCAGCTGGGATTTCTGGTTCAAACGTGGTAGATGAGACAAACTCGCTATTTGTATCAGTTGGTACATAAAAGTTTTAATTATAACTTTGGGGACTTTCAAAAATTCTAAGCTAACTTTCTATAAAATGTAGAAATTGTATACCTAGCGATGATGTAAAATTGCCTGCTTTCCCTACAAAGTTGCTCCTGAGAGAATGAGATATGAAATGCTAGATGATTCAATAGGCCAGCCCAACTTTGGGGATTTAACGAATAAATTTCTAATAAAACAACCTGAGTAGTTTTCTTAAGAACCAAAATCCTTAAATAATTCAGCTGATTTTAAACTTAGGCCTTTCACAAAAACATATTGTTCGATGCAATTACTAACAGAATTTGAATGATTCCATACAAGTCAGCAAATGTAGCCAGGCACTGGTGGCTCACGCCTGTAATCCTAGCTACTCAGGAGGCTAAGCTCTGAGGATCGCTAGCCAGGGCAGGAAAGTCTGTTGAGACTCTTATCTCCAATTATCCACCAGGAAACCACCAGAAGTGCTCAAAGTGGTAGAGCACCAGCCTTGAGCAAAATAACTCAGCAACAGAGCCCAGACAGAGCCCAAACCCTGAGTTCAAGCTCTACACTTGATTTTTTTAAAAAAAATCAGCAAATGTATTTCAAGTGTCAATTTCAAATTTTAAGCCAGTGTACTAATTGAGTTGAGAAGTGAGAGTGTCCTAATTTAAATGTGTGAGGAATACATATCAAGCTTCCCCAGTTTTGAATGCATGGTCCCTAAAACATGACAATCCCACATCTGTCTGCACACACCTGCACTCAGACCCATAAGATATGAATATGAAAGCATCTGAAAGCACCACTTCCCCACCACTGATGAAGGAGAGACCCAGAATGACTTGTTACCTATTATTTCCGTGGAATTGGCTAGAAGCACAATGAGAACAACAGCAATGATAAACACTATAAGCAGAAGAGCACTGAGTACAAGCTCCAGCGTCGTAAACTTTTTTAGCCTTGTTCTTGCCATCTAAGAAAAAGACAGAGAAGAAAAAAGTTACAACGAATTCTCAACATATAACTAGTCATTTATTTTTCCCCAGGGAACTGGAGTTTGAACTTGGGGACACGTATTCTCTCTCTTTCTCTCTCTCTCTTTTCCCTCCCTCTCTCTCTCTCCTCACACCCTGTGCCCCCCCACACCCGTCTCCCTTGCTTTCCTCTCCTTCCTTCCCCTGAACCTCCTCTCCCCTTCCTCCTGTCCCTCCTCCTCTCCCTCTGCTCCCTCTTCCTCTTTTTCTTTCTACCCTACTTCACCCTACTTGAGTCAAACTTCCAGCCCTGCTCGTAAACATTTTTATGGAAAGTTTAAATGCATATAAAATTCAGGTAGCAATTATCTAAACTTTAAAAACTCGCCAATTTCATTTTGGCTTTATGCCTACTTACTTGTCTCCCTAATTCTGTTTTATTTTCAGCAAAGTTTAGATTTCATGTATTTTAATCTAAAAATATTTATGAAAGGTAAGAAATTTTACAAACAAGCAAGCTATCATCATACCTAAAGTATTTTTATGATCTAGTATTAGATAATAAAAAGCATTTTATCTTATTAGATAACAAAAAGTTTGGGAGTTTTATGGTCCTGGTTTTAAGACTTGAACTCAAGCCCTGGGCGCTGTCCCTGAGCTGAAGCAAACATCATTCTACCTAAAGTATTTTTATTATCTAATATTAAATAATAAAACAGTATTTTATTGATGCTGGTCTTGGAGGCTTGAACTCAGGGCATGGACACTGTCCCTGAACTTCTGTGCTCAAGGCTAGCACTCTATCACTTAAGCCACAGCCCACTTTCAGCTTTTTGGTGATTAATTGAAGATAAAAGTATGGTGGACTTTCCTGACTGGGCTGGCTTCAAACTATAATCCAAAGATCTCAGCCTCCGGAGTTGCTAGGATTACAGGCTTAGGCTGCCGGCACTTCACTAAAAAAGTGTTGTTGTTTTTTATTATCTAGTCAGTGGTGAAATTTACCTCATCCCATGAGGTGCCAAACTTCTAGTTTGTTTGTTCTATTCTCATAAGAATGTAAGGTTTCTATAATTAGTTCATGTTTAAAGAAGTCATGCTCAAGCTGGAGATGTAGCTCAAGTGGTAGAGCTCCCATCTAACAAGGATAAGGTCCTGAGTTCAACCACCAGTATGGCATGAAGCAAAATAGAATATAAAATGATGCAAGTTTAATATTTTATTAGAATAAAGTAAATATACTAAAATGAGCTGGGCACCAGTGGCTCACACTTGTAATCCTAGCTACTCAAGAGACTGAGATCTAAGGATCACGGTTCAAAGCCAGCCCGGGCAGGAAAGTCCATGAAACTCTTATCTCCAACAAACCACTCAGAAAACTGGAAGAGGCATTGTGGCTCAAGTGGTAGAGTGCTAGCCTTGAGCTGAAGAGCTGAGGGACAGCTCCCATGCCCAGAGTTCAAGCCCCATGACATACATACATACATACATATATACATACATACATACATAAATCGTTTCATTATGACTCTAATGACATTTTTCTCTCTGTTTTTTATTTGAAATAAGGAGTTCTTTTTCCGGCATCTTCCAAGGGGACTATTCAGTTGTTGCTATTGTTTTAAAACATCTCTTTATAAAATAATGGATCTAAATGTAATAATGCTTCTAATATAATTTCATCTTTGCCCAGAAGGAGTGTTTCCAAGTTTGCTCCGCAGTCCTGTATTATGTAACTATAACCCTTTCTGGCATCACATAATATTCATAACATGACAACACGATTCCTGCGTCCAGTCTGAAATCACACATCTATAAGGAGCCCTTGTTTTTTGGTGTTTATATTAGTATTTATTTAGAGTCATAGCCTAGATGAGAGCTGAGAAATTTAACACAGAATTCTAGAACTAATTATACGTCGTGTAACTTCCTAGCCCGTGGTTGCCTTCTAAGATTCTCCAACAGATACTTAAGGATTTACCATTCAAACTCTCTCTCTCTCTCTCTCTCTCTCTCTCTCTCTCTCTGTTCCTTCAAATCTACTTCTCTGATATAATACCCAGTGATATTATAGCCAGCACTGCTAGGTGGAGTGACTGCCACTCAGTGTTTGGTGATATGGGCTGATGTGCATTGTTAAGTGAGGTGCTGATTGCCTGATATGACCTCTTTACAAGCCAAGTTCTTTATGGCTCCACGTGCTAATGCCTCGTCATGCATTACCCCACGTGCACAAAGCAAGGAGGAAATCCTTGGGTGGTAGCCTGCTCCCTCAAAGCCTACCTTCTACCCCGACTCACTCACCGCTTTTCATGTCATCTGACAAATCACATTCCTGACTCAGAAAGAACGTGCACTGCATGTCCTTCCATAAAGATTAGTTATCTTCCATACTTGGTACAATTAACTAAGACAAAAAGTGATCTCAAGTCACTAGCCAAGAGATGAGTTATCAGAACTATGTCTCTCTCTTTTTAGTGATGGCTGATAGTTATACGGTGGGAGGTCATTATATTACAGTACTTTTATATATTCCCAACTGTTTATTACCATGCTATGTTAGAAACTGTAAGGAAAATCCACCCACTGTTGGTCAACTTATAAACAACACAAACTCAATGGAATCTTGGCAAAACTATTAACATTACTCAGAGCTATACACTACCTATTTCATTTAGAGAAATTCATTCCATCACCAAATGTGAATCAATGTATGTATAGATTTTTTAAAAAAATTCTGCCACGGAAGTGGCGCTGTGGCTCAAGTGGTAGAGCGCTCGCCTTGAGCTGAAGAGCTGAGGGACAGCGCCCAGGCCCAGAGTTCAAGCCCCACGACCGACAAAAAAAAAAAAATTCTGCCGGGCACTGGGGGCTCACACCTGAAATCCTAGCTACTTAGGAGGCTGAGATCTGATGATTGCGAGCCAGCCCAGCCAGGAAAGTCTGTGAGACTCTTATCTCCAATAAACCACCAGAAAACCAGAAATGGCGCTATGGATCAAGTGGTAGAGTGCTAACCTTGAGCTGAAGGGCTCAAGGACAGCATGTAGGCACAGAGTTCAAGCACCATGACTAACAAAAAAGCAAAATTAATCCTAGCATGACATGTATAAAACCACACAGAAGGCATCTGAGTAAATATGTGAACATAATTAAAATTTTAGATTAAGATTAATTAAACACACAATATGGCAAGTTTTTTAAGTCCACCAAAGCCCCTCTACCCCAACCCTTTGAGATAGGACTAGACTTACTTCTAACATATAGAACATTCCAGAAGGGACAATATCAGGTTTTCAAGAATAGGTTATTAAAGATATTGTGGCTTTTTCCTGCTTTTTCTCTTGGGTAATTTCTTTTATTTTTTAATTTTTTTTACTGTAAAGACACTGTACAGAGGGGTTACAGTTACTACATGAGTAAGGTAATGAGTATGTTCCCTATCGAGTATTGTTACCCCCTCCTTTGTTTTTCCTCTACTATCCTCTTGAGTAATTTCTTAAGGAAACCAGCTTCCATGACATCATAACACTCAGGGTAGGTCTTCTAAGAGCTGACATAAAACCAAGGTATTCTGCCAACAGCCATGTCCATGAGTGTCCAAAGCAGTTCCTCATCCCCAGCCAGCCTTCACTCCACCACGGTCCTTGCCATGGTGGGGAGGAAGTACTCACAGGAGAAGCCCCTCCAAATTTCTGGCCCACATAAGCTGTCAGCAATTTTTGCTGTTCTAAGCTATAAAACCTTTATTTGTTACACAGACAATGACTAATACACATAGTTACCTAGGACTTTTCTAATTAATGTCTTTTTATTGTGAAAATACTGTACAGAGGGGTTACAATTACATGAGCAAGGTCATGAGTACATTTCTTATCAAATGAAATACCACTGGCATGTATTTTTGAAATCTGCTTACCTCCTGTCAGTGCCCTTTTGCTTGATGTATTCAAATAGGGCTATCTGCTCTACACAGTACAAATCTGTATTTTCCAGCTATACAAGAAAAATACTTCCTTAAGCCTCAAAAGTAAAAGAAACAACAAAATCCCTCTCCAGAATTTCCCATTTGCCTTTCTTTCTGTATTAGTCAACAGTATCTTAAAGCACACTTATAAGAAAAACTAAGACCAGGGACGCATTCACCAGACCTCAGGAAATCAGTCCTGCATGTCCAGAACGGTGCAGGTAAGGTTCTCACCTCCAGTCTCACAAACTGTGGGGAACTGAAGGAGAAAAGGGCTTCAGGGATGCAGAACCTGGACTCCCAAGGGCCCCATAGCCTGCTTCTTAGGTCCAAGTGGACCTGCAGCAGAGGTATCGGAAGTCCACAGATGCAAATGCTCCCTACAGTCAAGAGACCTTAAAGAGTGGTTCCAAGTAGCCATATTAGTATACTAAACTATGGAGGCATCTTTGGGCCAAAACATAGAAACAACTGGGAATCTACAAGGCTACCTTTTCTCCAGTAAGCTTCTTATCTTAGCCCATTTACAGAGAAAAGTTTCTACTATTTCAAAGTGGGAGGTAGGCTGTCCCCTTTAGATCTCACCTTGTAATTTAGCATTTAAATGAAGGGAAGCTTAACTGCTTTGTTAGTTGCTTCCAGGTTCCAACTTTTGAGTCTGGCCCTTTTTATATTTATTAAAAATAATATAATTCCACTATCTCCTCCCCTATCTACCCTGCCTTACTATGGAAACGGAAATAAATTCAAATGAAGATTGGGACAAAAAGGAAGGAAGTTGCCCCAGAAACACTCAGAACTCTTCGACTCCAGGGGATGAAGGACTAGCCTGAAATAGAAGAGGAAGAGGAAGGAGAGAGAGAAGAAGTTAAAGAGGGAAATGGAACAGGGAAGCAATCTGCTACCAGGAAACTGAGGAAGGAGGATCTTGAGTTCAAAGCCAGCCTGAGCTACAGAGCAAGACCTGTCTCAACATCAAACAAGGAAACAAATCCCAAAGAACTAATTTAAATAAAGCTAATGCATTTAAAAGTTAAAGAAAGAAGAGGTGACATGTCATTTTCATCACAGTGATAATCCTAACTGACAATGATTGAGCAGATGTGCTAAGAGGCCCCCATAATTTGTCACATGGAGTTCTGCTAATATCACCAGTGTTCAGTGGAGGGAATTAAGCATTAGCCAGCTCTAATAACCTGCTTAATGGCTCAAACAAGATTAGGAGCACGGCCACTGTTTAAACCCTTGTTCTTTGGACTCCACTTCCAGAGCTTATGACCATCTACTGCAGTGCATTTATCAGTAGAAGTTTATGTGAGATTGGAGTTTTATTGGCTAGTATCTGGCTTTTTAACCAAGAACTAAAAATAAATACAGAATGAGGCTAAGCATTTACAAACATTACCACATTTAATCTTCACAACCAATTAAACAGTCAAGATTATCATCCCCATTTTACAAATGGACTAACCAAATCTTACAGAGTCTAGGTTCCTCAAGGTCAAGGTCTCAAGACAGGCAACCTGAACTCAAAGCCATCACTCTTAAAAGTGATGTTAGACCATCCACTACTGTGCAATGCAAATGGAGAAAACTTGTGTATCCATACTAGATAATTGTTTCTAAATTAAAGGAGGCAGGATATATAAGCGAGACACTCATATCCAAAGGCAACGATCAAACTAAAAGGCTATGGGAACAAAAGGAAGAAAAAAAATCTGCAACACCTCCATCTCCATAACAGCTGGGTGGAATTAAAGTGTTCTCAAAGCACCTGGAGTATCCATTTGCTTTAAGTTTATGGCTCACAGCACTCTTGTAAATTCCCTTTGAGACCACAGGGAACAAGCTACTGATGTGTGTCCTTTCTCAGATTTATTCATCACCAGTGAACCAAACTACATCTCTGATGAAAAGGAAGTCAGATTGAAGTTTACATGCTCATTCATCACTGTTGTATTAAGCTCCTACAACTTGCAAGCATTCTTCCAGAAGCTGTCCTGGAAACATTGTACAAAATCAGATTTAAAAAGAACTCTTGGGGCCAGGCGCTGGTGACTCACACCTGTAATCCTAGTTACTCAGGAGGCTGAGATCTGAGGATCTTGGTTCAAAGCCAGCCCAAGCCTGTGAGACTCTTAGCTCCAATGAAACACCAGAAAACCAGAAGTAGTACTGTAGCTCAAGTAGTTAGAGCACTAGCCTGGAGCTGAAGAGCTGAGGGACAGTGCCCAGGCCCAGAGTTCAAGCCCTATGACCAAAAAAAAAAAAAAAGAACCCTGGCCTCTTAGAACTTATGTTGTTATAGACAGAAAAGAGAGACAATAATAAAAAATAAATCAATATACACCACAGTCATCTATGTCAAGAGCTGTGGAGAAAAACAGAGCAGAAGAAAAAGATGAACATGAGGGTGGATTTTAATGTCAAAAAGGTTGGCTATGGGAAATCTACACAAAAGATAAGAGTTATGATTGTACATAAATTGTGCGACCTCAACAGCAGTTTTTCTTCCTGAATTATATTGTTATACAAATAATTGCCAAAGATTCTTTTCCTGGTACTGTTTTTGAATTTTAGCCAAAGGAGATAAACCACCTGAGGGCTCAAATTGTTAAAATGACTATGGAAGTTAATTCGGAAAAACTGGATGATTTTCCTCTTCTGATTTACAATAGTGCTTAATTCATGAATAGAGAACTCTCCATTGAAAACTATTTGATAATACAGAGTAAAAATGCTAATGTAAAGGAAGGGTTAGCTTTACAGAGACCCAATACCTACTTATAAAGAATATCCCTGGCAGCATGGATATTCCTCAAAATTCTGAGCCCTATTTAGAAGGTTGTCCACAGCTCCTAAATAAACATGGGTTTTATTGTTGTTGTTGTTGTTGTTTATCAAGTCTGATCATATCCAAAACTATAGAGCTCTAAGAGTCAGTTCTAATCCTCTTCAGCTGTGTGACCTTGATAAAAAGTCTTATTCTCCTCTATGGGCTTCAGTTTCCCCATCTGAACAAAAAAAAAAAGGGTGGGAGACGATCTCTTGAAGATAACTATATCCTTCTGTGACCCCAGGTCCAGGTTATACAAAGATCTTTTTTTTTTTATTGTGAAAATACTGTACAGAGGGGTTACAATTACAGGGGCAAGATAATGAGTACATTTCTTATCAAGCATTGTAGCCTCCTCCTTTGTTTACCCTTCCTATCCCTTCCCATCTTCCCTCTCCCCCACCCAATCCTCCCCTCCCCCAAGTTGTAAAGTTTGTTTTTGACATGACAACTTGTACTTCTCATTGTTGCAACAGGTCCACCTGTATCCTTATTTAAACGACTTGCTTTTTCCCTTCCCCTCCACAAATTATACCAACATCAAATACAGTGAAAGCAGGGGTTATACCGTGGGGGAGGGACATACAAAAAAAACAAAGAAATAATCTTATAAATGTGTTAGAAACAATCGCATAAAAGAAAAAAACATTTGAATACATATCTTAGGGTTCATTTCCCTAACATCAACTTATCTGACGTTTTCTGCTTGACTCAGACATATACTAGTTATTGCAAATAAGGGAAACCATGGGACCTATCTTTTGGGCATTTACCCAAATGTTCAGAATAAGACCATACTAAAGCTACCAGCACGACTATGTTTATTGCAGCCTTATTTACCATAGCTAAGATATAGAAGCAACCCAGATGCCCCTCAGTAGATGAATGGATCAAGAAAATGGGGTATATATACACAATGGAATTCTATGCCTCCACCAGAAAGAATGACATTGCCCCATTTGTTAGGAAATGGAAAGACTTGGAAAAAATTATATTAAGTGAAGTAAGATCTATCTTCTTTAGCACATTACATCCCATAGTAACCATCTGAACCAGTTTTAAATGGAAAATTTCTTCATCTAGAGCTATGAATTCTTTAGTTTCTCCTGCTGATCTGGTACTTTGTAATTTTATTAGCCCCTTGAAATTAATTTGTGAAGGAATAACCTCATAGCCATCTGGGACAAGTGAGTGTAAAATAGTGATAGAACTCTCAAATAAGGGGTAGAGAACAGAATGTCATCCCACTTCGTTAGGTTCCTACCTAGCACAGCACAACAAAGACTCCCTCCCTCCCTCTTGTGCATGCCCCTGGCCCACTGGTTATCACCAGAGCCCACAGAAGCTGCTGTTCATGCGTTGTATCCTCTGGTAGCCAGTGAGTCCCATGGATTGACCTTCACCTCTCTCCCTGTCCCTAATAAATCACCCTTCCTGCCTCAGTGCAGGGAAAGAATGGAGATGCCTAGAATTAGTAAGGACCCAATTCTTTACTATTGAAGGGGAAGGAACCAACAACTATTCCTTGCCTTCCCTTCCATTGTGTGTCACACAGAACTAGTAGGCCAGGTACTTGTCCTTCCCTTTTTCTTCTGACCTCCTTCCAGATTTCTTGTGAAATCTCCCTTACTCACCAACACATCCATGCATCACAACATCACACACACACACACACACACACACACACACACACACACAGAGGCTTGCACATGACTCTTCCCTAAAATAGTTATATATTTGACTAATAAAACCACCAAACTCTTAAGGATAGTAATAGGTTTCCAGAACTCCTATTATAATGGTATCTCTAAATACCATCTCCTCAATCACAGCTCCAAATCCTCTTCCAAAGAAGGTCTCAAAACGTTCCAGTCGTACTCACATCTTTTCCTCACATCTACCTCATTTCTACAATTAGAAAGAACTTCCACCTGTTACCTCACCTGAATATTAGTTTTTCACAGCTCACCACCAACACACAAATTCAGTTATAATCAGGCTTTGTAGATTCAGCCTAGGTCCAGAGGAATACATGTATGAACACACACACACACACACACACAGAAGAGAGAAATGAGTTGAATTTTACGTGTATTTGCAAACTTCCTGGTTTACTGGGATCTATTTTTGTCCATGATAAGTTAATAATGGCATACTTACTAAAGGGAAACACAAATTGGCTCTCTAATACACACATAAACACACACACACACACACACACACGTACATCTGCAGCTTATAGGTAAATAAGTTCTACCTTAGAGGTAAATATACAGTTCACAAACATACCTCATTGCTTCCTGCTGGGCTTCTGGACTCTTGCGGGACAACCTATAATAAAAGCAGAAGCGCTAGGCCAGCAAGCAACCTATGCTCTGGTCACTGTTTATTGTTCTAACAAGAGTATGCTAATTACTTTCAGGAACAAATCACTGCCAGCTTTCCAGCCCAAGATCAAAATTGTGAGTTAATTAGTAATCACAGTCTTCCTCTTTGGAGAACATCCTATGGCCCCAGTGAGAAGTCACCAGCACTCCACCAAGCACTCATTCCACCCCTTCCAGACCCTGCTGTGAGGACAGCCCATGAGTCTGCTAAGACATCAGAGGACTGGTGCCATTTGTAGACAAAAATAAGAAAGATTAAAAAAATAAGTAAATAATAAATGTCCTGGTAGAACTCTGATCTTTCCCCCAGAGACATCCTTATAGCTCAGGACACCCTTCACTTTTAGTAGCACAATGTGCAGATTTGTGATTGAGGGACATGGTTTTGAAACCGTTTTTCCAAATCATTCTGGCTTTTCCTTGCCATGACAAAAGGTGTCTTTAAACTGGTTCATGCTGAAGAAGATTCTTTGGCAATATGGATATGCTTAGAAGTAAGTTTTTAAATGCATGAGAAAAAAATAATGATGGGGCTGGGAAGGTGGCTCAGTGGTAGAGCGCTTGCCTTGCATGCTCAAGGCCCTGGGTTCGATTCCTCAGCACCACATAAGCAAAAAGAAAAAAGCCAGAAGTGGCGCTGTGGCTCAAGTGGTAGAGTGCTAGCCTTGAGCTCAAGAGCTGAGGGACAGCGCCTAGGCCCAGAGTTCAGGCCCCACGACCAGACCCCCCCCCAAGAAAATAATAATAATGATAATGAGGTAAGGAGGAGAGCCTAAGCCTAGAGGTGAGAGAGGCCAGTCATTGAAGGCAGCCCCTAGCTCTAGGTGAGCTGGAGAGCTCTGCTTCAGAGAAATGCAGATGTCATAGACTTGGGAAAGCTTTTCATAGAGAATGCTCTGATTCTGCCTTGATTAACTCCCTAAGTGGCTTGAATCAGCAGCCTCTGAGTAACCTTTAAGATTTCCCTGTGTGGAAGGTTTGAGGCCTTACTTCCCTAGATGGTACCTGAGCTTATACCTGAGTATGTCCACATAAGGTCTGCTTTTGTTAAGGCTTGGTCTTGACCCAAGCACATGGCTGTTGTCTTTAAAAGCTCCGTGCAAGCTCTGTTCAGAGCTGCTGGTCCTTGGGACAGGTGTCCACTGTGCAAATAGCTGGTCTTTTAATAAAAACTCCAAGATTCAACCTCTCGAAATGTGGTTTCTCTGTTTTCTTACCTTACAACAATACAAAGCATCAGGTTACATGGTTATATGTACATACCTTCTGACCTCTTCTGCTTATCCTAGACATATACTAGTTATTGCAGATAAGGGAAATCATGGGATCTATGTTTCTTTGAGGCTGGCTTACTTCACTTAATATAATTTTTTCCAAGTCTTCCCATTTCCTAACAAATGGGGCAGTGTCATTCTTTCTGCTGTAGGCATAAAATTCATAAATAAATAAATATATATATATATATATATATATAATCACATTTTCTTCATCCTTTCATGTACAGCGAGACATCTGGGTTGGTTCCATATCTTAGCTATGGTGAATAATTCTGTGATAAACAGTTGTGCTGGTAGATTTTATATGGCCTTGTTTGTGATCATTTGGGTAAATGCCTAAAAGTGGGATTTTCGCAACCCCCAAGAAGGTGGATAACATGGCAGGAACTCCCAAATACAAGAGGTTTTATTGTACTTATAATGTACTATGTGATTTTTTTGTTTGTTTCTTTGTATGTTCTTCCCCCATGGTACAACCTCTGTTGTCACTGTATTGGATTCTGGTGTCTTACATCTTGTATATACATTTTTCTAATTTGGGGAGTTGAAGGGAAATAACAAAATGCTGAATAAGGATACAGGATGCATCCATTGTAACAATGAGATGTACAAGACACTATGTTGAAAACGAACTTTACAACTTTGTGGGAAGGAGGGAGGAGTTGGGAAGGTGGGGAGGAAAGGGATGGTAGGGGAAAAACAAAGAAGGAGATGACAGTGCTCCATAGGAAACCTTGCTCACGTAACCGAAACCTCTCTGTAAAGTCTCTTTGCAATAAAAATATATATTAAGAAAAAAGTACAAAGCAAACCAATTATATTGCATACTTTACGACATACCCACTCCCAAGTTCACAGGGCTTTCTGAATCCTAACCAGTAACCCTAGATTCAGAATGCTGCCTTGGGGCTGGGAAGGTGGCTCAGTGGTAGAGCGCTTGCCTTGCATGCATGAGGCCCTGCATGCATGATTCCTTAGCACCACATAAGCAAAAAGGAAGAAAAAGCCGGAAGTGGTGCTGTGGCTCAAGTGGTAGAGCGCTAGCCTTGAGCTGAAGAGCTGAGGGACAGTGCCCAGGCCCAGAGTTCAGGCCCCATGACCGGACCCAAAAAAAAAAAAAAAAAAGAATGCTGCCTCATCACTAAGTGGACTTTGCCAACATGGGACAGAGTCCTCCTCACACACTGCCTCAAGACATCCGTGACTCACCAGTCCTCAAGGAAACAAGAATAGAAGTTAAGAATAAGTGCTGAGAAGCTGTTGTTACAACACATCAGCATAATGTCATATCTATAAGCTCTAGTAATAATCTAGATAGACAGTTGTGTTTGTCATCTGGAAAAACTAAAGTCACCAACTCATCCTGGTCATGTCATAGTGAGCTATTGTTGACTCTGACAACCCAGATAAAATCGGCATCATGTTTTGAATATTTCACTTGCTTGTTGTTTTTCTCACTTTGGCCATCACATTAGCTCCAGACCTGAATTCAAAGCCTGGACATTCTTAGGCAAGTAAGCTGGTATTTTCTTAATTTAAATGAAGATAGCAATGGAACCCATACAACAAATGTATAAAATGAGCAAAATTATACAAGTAAACAACTTGGTATTACAAAAATATCCAGTAAACATCCATAGAATTGCTCTAACTGATGTTCTGCCACAGTTGTGACTAGAAACCAAACCGTGGACTCTCAATCCCAGGCTCCTTCAACTACATCAACCTTTCAGTCTGCTCTACCTCGAGATTCCCAGCCTAGCATAGTGGGTGGTCATTGCTGTGTAAGAAAGAGACAGAGCCCCTACTTTGGTATCCATGGCCGTGGGTAGCATACTGACAATTGCTGATGCTGCCCAATTAGAGCAATGTAAAGGTTTAGCTCCAAGTCTTTGGTTTAAAAAAGGAAGTGGTGGTTCTTGCCTGTAATTCTAGCTACTCAGAAGGCTGAGATCTGAGGGTCAAGGTTCAAAGCCAGCCTAAGCAGGAAAGTTCATGTTAGCAAAATGAGCTCCCTTCCCCTAGCATAGTCCACTGCTTCCCCTCTCCACAACTTAGCATGCTCCCTTCCTAAGCAACCCTAGGCCTATGTAGTAAAGGTAGTAAAGCCTCCACCCGCCTTTACGTTGGGATGGCACTTCTCTGGGGCAGCTACCACCATAGAAGGCAACAAGAGCCCCTTAGAGTGACCTTCAGGTCTGGGCAGCCGCAGGACCCTTATCTACTGTTTGGACGGCAGCCATAAATCCTAGTCCACCATGATGAAGCCCCTGGCCCCGGTATGGACCGGGGTCTCTGCCTCCTAGCCCTGCTATCCCCTCCTAAGCCTCCTAGGTTACATAGGTGACCTCGGACAATAGCCGCACTTCTTCTTACTTCTCCCTTGTGAGAAGGGGCCTTGCCAGCCCCTTTTCCCAGAATAAACCTTTCTTTGTATCTGTACCTGGATGTCTGTGTGGTTCTCTGGCAAAGTCTAATTTACCCTATCAGTCCATGAGACTCATCTCCATTTACTGACCAAATTGTCCGGAAGTGGAGCTATGGCTCAAGTGGTAGAATACTAGCCTCAAGCCAAAAAACTTAGGAGGAGAAAAGGGGAAGAGAGGCACAAGGAGGAGAAGGAGAAGAGGAGGACACGGAAGTAGAAGAAGAAGGAGGACACGGAAGAAGAAGAAGGAGGAGGAGGAGGAAGGGAAGGGCTGGGAAGGTGGCTCAGTGGTAGAGCGCTTGCCATGCATGCCTGAGGCCCTGGGTTCGATTCCTCAGCACCACATAAGCAAAAAGAAAAAAGCCGGAAATGGCACTGTGGCTCAAGTGGTAGAGCGCTAGCCTTGAGCTGAAGAGCTGAGGAACAACGCCCAGGCCCAGAGTTCAGGCCCCACAACCGGACCCAAAAAAAAAAAAAAAGGAGGAGGAGGAGGAGGTCTGATGATATGGCTGAACTGATAGAGAGCTTGCTTATTAGTAAACAAAAAGATGAGAAGGAGGAAAGAAAAGAAAGAAGGAAGGAGGAGGAGGAGGAAGGAAGGAAGTCTGATAATATGGCTGAATTGGTATAAAACTTGCTTATTAGTAAACAAAAGGCCCTAAGTTCAAATGTCAGTATTGAAGAAAGGAAAATAAATGAAAGGAATAAAAGAGAGGGGGAGGGAAGGAGGGAGGGAAGAAGGAAGGAAGGAAGGAAGGAAGGAAGGAATAAAGGAAGGAGAGAAGGAGGGAAGGAGGAAAGGAAAGAGGGAAGGATTTAGACTAGATCAAGATAACACATGGGCAAGGTGCTTAGAGTCATGACTAGGCCTTCCCTGAGCTCAGAGGTGTAAGGCACTTGTACACGTCTGCTTGAGAGCCATGAATACCTTGCAATTGTGAGAAGAAATAGTGTGACAAACATGCCTACAGCTCTCCATTCCCTTAGCCACCACCCTTAAGGGGTCATTAGGACTATAGACCTGGATCAGGTATTAGTCCTGAGCCCCTGTTTCCAGGCACAGGATATTCAGAAGTAGAAAGTGGCATGTGGCTCAAGTGGTAGAGCACTGGTCTTGAGCCTTGAGTTGAAGAGCTCAGGGACAGCGCCCAACCCAGAGTTCAAGCCCCATGACCGGAAAAAAAAAAAAGTTAAAAAAAAGAAATTCAGAAGTAACTAACTTCCTAAC